CACAGGGCAGGGAGGGGGCCTTCCGCGGCGCTGGCGTCCCCTGACGGCACCGCCGTTACCCCTGTCCCGGGGTCCCCGAGCCCCCAGCGGCAGGCGGTCGGGTGGCAAGCCTCCCTGCGTGTCCCGGGGGGGGGAGCGATGTCCGGGTGTGCTGCGGGGGGAAGAGGAGGAGGAAAAAAGTCATCATTTAAAAAACACTCTTGGAACAGGTGAGTTTGGCTGCTAGAAGTGAGAAGACAGAATGTCCTCCCCCAGGTGCGTCTTTGTTTTAGCCTCAGAAGCTGTAACCCTCACGCGGAATTCTTGTGAGGCCAGATTCATCGGTTTCCAGCTGGCACCTGTACAGATTCCTCGTGCTGTCTGCATATATTTAAGCATCCTTTGGGTTATGTTTGAGGATGTGGTTTTCCGAGTGTCACGGCTGAGAGCAAAGTATAAGCAGTCAAGTTACTATTCTATTTTAAAAATTTGGACTTTATCCATGATTTAAATTGCTGTAAAATTACAGTTCTTGCCCTTTATTTAAAAAGTTGGAGGAGGCATTGATTTATGGATCACCAAGGTGAAATTGGAGAGTTTCCACACCTAAAATGCGTGCTCCCCAAATAAAGTCAATTAAAAGGCTGCTCATTATTTTGGAGGTGTTTATGTGGGAGTGGGATCAGTTCAGAAAGAGAAAAGCAAGCTTGGAATAAGAGGAGAACCTAATACAAATCAGCAAGGCGAGTAGTAGGACAACCCAAAGAAAAGTATAGGCTTGGTGCTTTGGGGGAAATACAAGCTTCAAAAGAAATACTGTTCCGTGAGATTTGATGCTAAATTGTGGTCATGGAAACAAGTCTTTAAAATTAGATCAAAGAGACATCTAGCACCATTATTAGTTTCTCATCCACAAGTGGCTGTGAAGTCCAAGTTGTTGATCCACTTGGAGAAAAAAAAACAAAAGACTGGTAGGTTAGACTGGCTCTTTCTAAATGGCATGGTATTATAAAAAAAAAAAATCCAAAATATATTTTAATTGGTTTATGCTTGTCTTTGTCGTAGCGGCAGGATATGAACACATTTCCTGAGACTTTGCAGAATGGGTGGTTTGCACAGCCACCAATGATAAATATCATTTATTGGGGCACTTTTTTTTTTTTTAACTTATTATCTTTGGTAGCTCAGATTATCTCACACTGAACGGTAACAAGAAGTATTTAAATTTTTTTAAGTTTGTTTATATTGTGCACTTGATATTTAATTTTCTGTTCTCTGGGTTACAGGGAAAGGCAGGGGATTGCAATAAATACAGCACATGGCAAAGCCAGCCAGAAGGGGTACCGCGGGGCCTACTGAAGAACACCCTGCAGAGATCCAGGTAAGTGTGCAAAGTCGGTATCCCCAAAACTCCTGTAGTAAAACAATGTGATCCCAGCTTGTCCCCACCAGACCTGAGCCGGCTTCTGCAGAGCCGCTTACACGATTGCTCCAGTTCTGAGAGATTTCGCTACCTTATGCTTGTAAGCACAAGGTTTGGTCAGCGCTGGAACTGCACCCCGGCAGGCGCCCGTCTTAACCGACTCTGCAGGAGGCAGCTCAGTCTGGCGGGTTGGCAGAGTGCTGCTGGACCTCCATGGACTTGGTGACATTCGGAAACAACGGGACAGAGGTAGCAGCTAAGGGATTTCTATTTATAGCTCAAGGTCTTAGGAGTGGGGGGAAGTAACTCCAGAGACTCCAGGCTGAGGCTGCTTCTAACACAGCATCCATCAGAGTGCTCAGCTCCTACCAAAGGAAGAAGTCTCTACCTCCCACCTGTGGTTCAAGCTCCCCTTGTTGGTAAATGACCAAGCATTCTACCTGAAGTCACCTTGACAAGGTTTAACCCTATGCATTTTTTCATGCACAGAAGTGGGTTACAAGTTAACAGTAATTTGGGGGAGCGCAAGACTAACAGGATGAATCTATAAAAAAGTTAACAGTGACAGATTTTTATCCCTTTTGATCAGCTTCCGGTAGAATTTGACAGAGAAACATAGAGTAGTTTCAAAAACAGACATTCATGGTCTTGTTTTCCTGGCTTCTGTTTGTTTTCTGATCAGAGGAACGTTGCTTGCTGGTAAGCAGTTGCTTTCATGCTGCTCTGCCCAGTGCACTTGTTGCCTCAGCCCAGTACGGCAGCACACCCACCTCTTACCCCTCCAGATCGTCAGCGGGTCAGCTCAGCTGCTAAGATTTTTCAGGCTAATGTGATCTAATCTGTATGTGTCCAGGCAAAGTCACTGCTTCTCCCAGATCACCCAAAGCTCAAAATAGATACTGTGGCTATGATTACTTTGCTTTTAAGAGTAGCACTCTGATAAACAATGTTTGTAACTGCAGTCAGCTACT